CAAGGCCCAAAAAACAAATAAAAACAAAAGCAGAAAGAGGTGTATCACACATGGAAAGAAGTAATGGTTGCCCTACTCGTGATCCCCCTATTCTCCGGGGGTCTCTGCTAGCCGTCGACTAAGTCGATCCAGCAGTTCGATTAACCTCCGGTTACCCTCCCCCCCACACACAATATTTCTGTGAGCAACCACCGATGGTGCTTGCCCGTTTACCTCAGAATCACTACACACCTTTACGTGTCGGATGTGCACTTTGACGTGCTATCACAATGGACAGTAGATTGTATCCGACCACACCGTGAGCGAAAGTCGGTAGAAAAAACCGGGAAAAACAACCCGACGTGTCCCGCCAGCCCGGGAGTCTCCGGCCGTGTCAATGCTTTCCTCTTGACCCCCCACGGCCATTCGATGTAGGTAAGATAGGGGGCTCGAGTGTCGAGTGACTTTCTATGAAGGGGATTAGGGACGCACCTCCCAGGGCGACCGACATCGGAGTCGGGATAAGAGACCCGGGATAGGCAATCTAAATTCACTCACCCAGGTTGGAGGTGGGGGTTCGACTGGCCCCAAAATATATAAGTTAAGGCTGGTTAATGCTGCTGTATTGTTATCGTATTGCACTATACCAGCCCATTCAAACCCTCAATGCGATGCCTGTAAGATATCCGAGACCCATTTCAAGAAGCTGGACTACCGCATGAAATTGTCTTATCGTGCAGGGGGGGGTAACGGGTCCTATAACACTTCGGTAGCTCCCGCACGGCCAGGATCTGCGAACCACTAGCAGGGGCACTGCTTTATGTTGAGGAAAAGCAAGTAACAGTGCGAAGGAGAAATTATATCTTTTTTTTTTTTTTTTTTTTTTTTCCCTTTCTTTCGAGCAATACCGGGAAATACTATGCTGCCGCGTACTTGTGCTCACACTCACACACGTAATAGGAATACCTCGCTCGTTATCATCTTTCCCCGTTCGTGAAATCCAGTTGGTTTCGAAATCGGTTCGCCGTTCACCCAACCATCGCTAGCCAGTCAACTTGGCGATGACTGACGGCCAAGCTTACTCAGTTATGATACCTCAAATCATGTATGCTCTTGCGGGGGGCTATAATTCGCCGGCAAAGTGCTTGATGTCTCATTGAAGGTGGAAATTGATTTGCTCATCTTGCGTGTCATAGCCGAAAAATAATAATAAACCGGTACCATACCGGTTTACATGGAAAGACTTACAACCGGTGCTGTGCTCTCACTCGGTTTATTAGTCAGCGCTGTGTCTTTGTGGTAGACCAATGGTGATATCATAGCACCATCACTCCCCCCCTGCCCTTCCCCCCCCCTTTCCCCCCCCCCGTAGAGATAGGCGATTTCCATCTCTGGTGAATTTTGGCTCTCTTTAATGGTGTGCTTGGCGTTTCTCGTTCCGACCAAGATGGGTGAATAGAAAAAGGTGTCTCTCGCGAGTATAATAATTAGTGTTCGTGATACGGCAGTCTTTCTTTCAATCGACTAAATTGTTTTAGCTAGTATCGAACTTGGACTGATAGACTATGCTAATTTCTTCATAGATCCCCTAACCGAACCGAGTGCGGTAGTAGGTACGAGTACGATAGGTGTAAAACCAGAGGTAAGCCTTATTCCCGTACCGGTCTAAGGCTTACCGTGAGGAAAAGGGGGGGTGGAATATTCCACGGTTTAACATCCCCTCCCTGGACGCTTATGGCAACCCACTCGAGGTTTCAAAGTCCTAAAGGCAAACCATTTACACTCGAAAGGTGTCTGCCTTGCCTCGGATTTTCGCAATGGCATGTACTCACTCGGGTACTCGAGCACTTGTACCGGTACCATACATGTACCCGAGTACCGGTAGTATATGAGCACAGACGTCTGCCGTTTGGGCGGAAATTAATTCCCAGGGGAGCTCGGTACACAAGGCTAGGATACACACAGCGAACACGGTTCTGGGTGGGGAAAAGGCACCCGAGTAGGAATTTGACATCAATCTACGCTTTGAGTACGCACCCGGCCCGCCCGGCCGCCAAAGGGGGGGAGACTGGAACAAAGGCTTTATCCTAACGTCCTTACCCCTCGCAATCTTAACCGATTGGGGGGGAAAGGCTTCGTCGCACGGACAACGGTGCTAAGCTTGGTACGGGATCATGTGGAGGAAAAAAGGGTTTACATGCTGGAACTGGTAGGCCGGTAAGCCACCGGGTGCACAATCAAGAGATTCGATTGAGAGTTTCTGGAGCTTCTTGTATCCAGATTTCCACACATCTGCGGGCTGTGGGAAAAATTATGCGAAATGATCATACATGCTGGGATCACTATTCCCCCTCGAGACTGCGTCCTTAGGGTTAATGGAGGGCTACTTTTAATGGTGGGGCACTCGAGAAGTATCATAGCTTGAAGTGCTTAGCGGGGGCTGGGTCAATACTCAGGGATTCGGTTGCGGTGCGCACTGCGCACTGAAAAGAGTAATCTATAAAGTAGAATGGATGAACGAGATCGACACGCTTGCCATGATGCTGCTTATTATCGCGGGCACTCTCGAACTGAAAAACACTAGGACTCCATGCGACTGTGGGAGTCATGAGAAGGGAAGGTGAGATCGAGCAGACTGACCAAGTTATTCAGTTGGAATTGACTGAAGCATTTCGAGGTCTCATTCGTCTTGCAAGATCTTGCCCACCGGAATACTGAGGGTTTTTTTTTTTTTTCTTCCTTGGAAAAGTTACATGGCCTCATGTAAGTGGCCGGCAAGGAGAGCCATTATGGGTCTAGAGGGGGTGCGGGGGACTCCTAATTCTATTCGTGAGGTCACGAATTCAAGGTCACCAAGGAGAGAATGCCCTGAAGGGAAGAGGGGGGGGGTTGATAGTCAATCTTAATCTCCCGGGACTCTGCAGTGTTCGACCGACGATGTCCTTCGAAGCTCTCGACGCAGGGGTGAGTAGGGTTGATTACGAGGAATAAAGTGGGGCCAAATTGTCTTTCATCTCTTCACCTCCAGCAATCCCAGCGGGTGGAGTTCTCCAAGTGGACCTTGCGTCAAGTCCATTCATGGGTGGCCAAGGCGATGATCAGGAGAAGAAATAAGAAAAAATTCCTACAAGTTTCTGGAGCGGAAATCTGGCATATATTTATTTTTCCTTGTTTCCTTCTTTCTTCTACGGCTGCCAATCTTTGGTATTCTAATGAGCAATCATTTCATGGTCACCGGAGCTGAGCAGAGGTCTAACCCTTTACCTTTATCCGTCATGATCAATCGCAAGCATTCTCCGATCCGGAGTACTTCCCGCGGTGAATAAAACATTTGACATGCGCTCTGTTGGGAAATTTTTAGATGCGTTATGTCATTTTCAAGAACTCGATCAAGAAGGTGAGCATCTCTGTATAGCCAGGTTATTTTATTATTGAAATTTTGTTTCTCTAACCCCACTCTCCAACTCTCCCCCCCCCCTCATCGCTTTCTAGTGGTGCCATGAAGCTACCGAGCCAGTGTGCACTTAGACTACCGGTATGTATGTGCCCGTACTCGAGTACAGTACAGTACGGTACCGTACCCCTTTGTGTGCTCTTGTGTACGAGTACTGTACTCGAGTAGTAGGAGAATTTTAATAAAGTAGCACCATCGCGCCTGTGTATCTTGCTCATGCAATACAGTAGTCTATTCGTACTGTACGAGTAGGACTGGAAAATTATCCCTTAACCTGTGTGCAGATTTCGCGTGGATAATGACTCTACTCGTAGGATAACCCAAGATCTTCACCAAAGGTGGCAAGGCCCGGGAGCCCCTGGTGTGACGTGATTGAGGGATGGGGAAGTTCTTCAATATTGCCACAGTTGAGATACTGCATTCCTAATCTTGGAATATTCCACAAGTATCGAGCTGAAAAGTGACAAATGCAGACTATGGTAAGGAATTGGAATACTACAATCATTAAAGATAAACAGGAGCAAAACAATGGTGGTCTAAATCAATACAACCTCCCCCCTCCCAGTGAACTGTACGAGTACTTTACCGAACCGCCGGGAATAGGCCCCGAAGTGAAAGTAAGACTTGTATGAGTGCAGAGAGAAAGAGCACGCAACAATTACGGCAATGCTTGTGCAACATGTAATTTCAATGAACTTTTCCCTCACTCCCTGCCCTTATTGTTTTTTCTTTAGGCGTGAAGGGGTGGACCCGCATCCCGAGGCTTTGGTCTTGGATCGAGGCGCCCACACTGACTTACAACCAGCCTCTCGGTTTAACTTCCAAGGGGTTGCTGGTTTCCCACCGTTTAGTTTTTATGGAAAACCGGAATTTTTCTCTTGTTTCAGAAACTTGGGTGGTGAATCTCAATTAAATTCTCCTTTCGCCCTCACCACCATACCAGTACGAGTATCATAACTTGATACCCATCCCTCTTTTTACGGGATGCCAGGGGCCATCCATTAGCTCGGGCGCGCGCAGGTTTTTTTTTTTACCAAACGTGTTCCGGTCGTTCCGTGTGTACTGTACTGTATCCCCTCTCCTGGGATCTCGAGAAACTCATAACATTTGGAACCTCCTCAACTGCTTTTGGCTGCGATTGGGGTTAGTCAAGTCACCATCGAGCGTTTTTCTGCCGTTTTTGTTCACCCATTCCCCGCGCACAGACGCTTCTTATTTCCAGAGTTCTTCTTCCCGGAATAAGGCGAACAATTGAGTAAGGCTAACAGCAGGAACGGGTTGAGTACCAAGTCCTGGGATGGCACAGTACTCTTCTGGTACTCTACTCGTACACCCTTTCTTCCCCTTCCCTTGGGAAATGATGATTTAAGTAAAAAAAAACTCTGGAAAAGTTGCGCTAGTACACCACCCATCTCACCTCTCCTTGTAGGAACAAATCCCAGCCCCACGGTCTGGGACCGTCTCTATCGGTTAGTAGTAGTATGGCACTGGAGCGCACACTGTCAACTCAATATATATATACTGAGAAAATCCAGGAGAAGGGTGAGGGCATAGAAATCGGGGTTATCGCGGCAGCTCAATCCAGACACTTATCCATGTATGAACTGTTGGGTCACAGAGAAGTGCAGCACGAGCTTTGAGACTTTGGAAGCTGCAGTGACGGACGGGGGGTGTACTGTACGATACCAATACTGACCACCGAGCCCTGGTCCTGTTTTGCCCTAACAGCCCCGTGTTCTGCTACAGTATATTCGTGTGCTCTTTTAACTCGTGTCGTGCTTTTTCTTCTTCGTTTTCCACAGTCCAGTCACCGGGGAAAGTTAGTACCAACGCCCACCCCAAGGAGTTCGGTGTTCGCTGTCCATTTCAAATTTATTGTTCAAATCCCCCCCCCCGAAAGGAAAATAATTCAGAATCACAAAGACCAACAATGTCCAGGTAATTGAACCCCCCCCCCCCCTTCCCCTTCCTCTTTTTTTTTTTTCCTTCGAATGTGGCACTCTTCCTTGTTCTAGTTCTCGGGAGGCTTGCAGCAGTTCTGATATCTCGCCACTTAGCAATCCTGAGCCCGATACTGTATCGCTTGATACCTCGTTCGAAGCGACTATTCAGATACAAGGACGAACATACCAACAATGGGCTGTTGAGCACGGGACATCCTACGGACCCGTTGATGAGGTAGCCTTCCTCTCCTTCGAGAATTGGACTGAAGAATCGAAACTGAGACCCCGCTCAGTATGAGCGCGAGAGACAGGAAACACAGCATGAAATTTTCAAGTTAGTTTTCGATCGAAAGTTAATATTCCCTCCAGTACACAATCCTAGAAAAATACTGGATTGCGGGTATGGATCCGGCAGTTGGGCGACAGATGTCGCCATGAAGTATCCCCATTGTGATGTCTGCCTCACCTCCAAAATCTCCTAAGCCCCGGTACCGGCAAAGCGGCTTTTCTGACGATCGCCAGGTCATTGGAGTTGACATATCTCACCACATGATGCCTGATGACCCGCCACCAAATCTCATTCTTCAGGTACGAACCTCGTGTCCTGAATTCATCGCCACATTTGCAACTATTCAATATAAGCCCAAGAGTAACATGGGGAAACTCACTTTTCTAACGCAGGTCGACGATCTTAACGAACCATTTACTTTTCACTCAAATGAGTTTGACTTTATACATTCTCGAAATGTGGTCACTGGTATCAACAAGGCAAGATGGCCATCCTACGTGAGAGATTGCGCTCGGTAAGCGTATTTGTTTTTGTTTTTTTGTTTTGCTTACCTTGAATTGGTAATCATTAAAGCCAGTCTCCGCTGGTGACATGTGCCGAATTCGAGTTGCTCTGTGCCGCCCGAGAGAAAACTCACCGCTTGATCAGCGGCTCCACCTCATCCAGTCCTCAAGAAGTCACCTTCCTCTCTCACATCGCCGAAGCAAAACCCTCACACGGAATCTGCTCGACTCCCTCCTTCACTCGATTTTTCACAAACACTGTTGCGGCGAAGCTGGTTCTTGTACTGAGAGATTGACGTGAAGGGCGCGGGCTGACCAAAAGGGTGTTCTTAGGGTACTGAAACCAGGGGGATGGCTACAAATGATAGAAATTTATCACAACGTGCAGTCAGATAACGGAACTATGACGGATAGGCACGCACTTCGAGAACTGAGCACAAAATTCCTATCGGCATCAGAGAACTCAAAGGATCTTCGTGCACCATTGGCGCTAGAGTCCTTCATGCGGGATGTTGGGATGGTGGATGTGGCAGGCAGAATGATCCCGCTGCCGTTAAATGGGTGGTCGATGAGTTAGTTTCCCAATCCTTTTACCCCTTATTTTACTTCTCCTTGGAGGTTCCAGGAGTCTTTTGAGCGAGCTGTTCGAGCCTGGCTGGTGTTTGTGCCCGCTGGGTTTTCAATGGCTCGGGGAGTCACCCGCCCATTTTCCGCTGCCCATCATCAGCCCAAGTCCAATCTGGTCATTCACCAATCCCAGGGCTCAGTTATAACCTTACTCCCCGAAAAAGTCTTGTACGCTTAAGTCAGTCGCCGGGAGTTTTTGGAGATCTGGGGCCGGGCTGGTCTGGCCTCTCCCTCTCTAAACCCGGCGATAGGGCACCCGGGGTTCTCTACCACTATCGTAACCTCAGATTTGAGTGAGAGAGACGCTATTGCAGGCCCTTCTTGCAGCGAGCTTACAGACTCTTCAGGCTTTCATGGTTCGTGCCTGCTAACAAATCTATCTTGAGCCGTCAGACCCCAAGGAGCGTGAAATCGGCGAAAGGTTCAACTATTCGTACAAAGCAGCCATGAGTGGTCATATGCGCATTCCTCTCACCGAGAGACTCCATTTGACCCACAGCCAGTTCAACGACCTGATACAAAGAGCCACAGAAGAACTGGACAACCTCGGTTTGAAGCCATACGTTGGATTGTAAGCCTTCCCGGACCCGTTATCTGACATCCGTACCAGGTGGGAGGTATGCTTCGATAGACCAAGGCTAACACGTCCTCTCCCTTTAGATATATTTGCATCGGTCGCAAAACATATTAAACATAACACAGGGGTATCCTCCACGGTAAGACGGCGATATAACCCCACCATCACAGAATTGAGGTCACGATTGCTCACTCGGTGACTTGTGTCATAGGTCAGAACAACCGAGGCCTCCTACAATAGCACAAACCACCTCACACGCAAAACAAAACCCCAGGAAATCACTTGATTACGGAAAACGAACACCGTATCATAGGGAGCGATCATATTGGTTCGGCCGGGGGGAAAGAATGAAAAGGAAAAAAAGACAAAAGAAAAAAAAAAGTTCGGGAGTCAACAGGACGTCCTGGATGTTCCTATGGGGATCGTACAAGGTATAGCTGGTCTATTAACATTTTTTACTATTTTGTACGGCGCTTAGATAAGAATGTTAAACAAAGAGTTTTGGCCTCGGTTGTTGGTACGGTACCATGGCTTTTTTTTTCTTTTCTCCTTCTTAGCCAAAAAAGGAGAAAGGACTGACTACCCGCGATTGGCTATGCCACATATTGTTCTGTTGGTTGGATGGCCCGGCCCAATTCTATTCTTCCCCTGATGCGTCGGGTCGCTCTACTCGAGTACTAGTTGGATGCGAAATCCCGAGCCCGGCAGCCCGGGCACAAATCGTGTACGATAGCGTGGTTACCAGGCTGTTCTCCGAGTGATCTCCAGTGAGCCCAATAAACCCCAGCAGTTCACAGACAGCGGGGAAAGGGACAAGAGAAGGGGCTTGAGTTCTCCCGCTTGATTTACCCATGAGTACTCTAGTAGACCGAGTGAGACCTTGCCCCCACCAGTGATTATTGGCGCTCCCCAAAATTTCATTTTGAAAGCCGGGACAGGTCTCTCTCTCTCTCTTTCTCCACAAGGATTTTTTTAACTTTCACAAGGGAGAATCGTCCGTGCAGTCACAAGCACAGACATGTTACTGGACATCCCAACTATTTTTTGTGACCCCCCCCAATGTCCTCTTCCCTTGACTTTCTCGTTTTTTTCTCGCTTACGGCACTTGGACTATGATGTGTTCGAAGTCCGCTCGGAACATCCATTATTACCAATACTGTACAGTACAGCACCATACTCGAGCGCAAGTACTCGTACAGTACGGTACCCGTCTTGGGGTCTTGGGGCGCATTTTTTGTTTTTTTCTGCCCACCGCCGCTCCTCCGGGTGAACCCACGGTGTTCGGGTACAGTACATGGTGGGCCAGTGGTGGTAGCGAACTGGCTTAAGTACGAGTACAGTGCCGGGTACTCATACAGTCTGTTCTAGCATCGCGAGGATTGACAAGTCCTTGCGATCCCATTGGTCAGATCCGTTTGTGATGCCGGAACCTCGAGATGCTGGAACAGGCCGCAACCAAAGTTAACGAAAGTTCCCTTTGATACTGGCGGGTGGGCACATGCTGTACTGTACCGTGTACTTGTACCCACAATCCAAGGACTCGGGCGCCCGCAGCAGGGTACTTGTACCGGGTACCACTTTCGAATGTGCTTCGCAAACCGGCGAAACAAGAAAAAACAAAAAAAATACAACCTGGTTCGATCTAGGGCGCACTTTTTCCAAAATTCCAAATAGTTCATGATGATAATATTATTATCATAAATTGCAAGATGTTTGTCCTAGGGACCTGTGCATAGACCGTGTCATTCCCTTATTTTCTTTCCCCCCACGCAGTGCTATGCAAGGGTTGACGCCTCTCAGGGTCTATGGAAAGCCCCACCTTGTGCGCACCCCGGAACCCCCAACGACATCACTCGTAATCCCACGATATGATACCTCAACATGGATTGGCGTATCATACTCGTACAGTCACTCGACCATTATCGATGTACGATACCTCATCCACCGCAACCACCTCTCCTCCTACCTCGACGCCCCTCCACATCACTCCACTCTCCTCAACTAGAGAGTGCCCTGGAGTATTGAGATCCCTAGATTAGGAGAACGAGAAGCATGACAAGCTTGTTTACCCGAAGGAAACAAAATAATTTGATTGCGATCGTAGTTGGTCAAGAGGGTCAGATGGAGGATGTGTGGTGTTTCTGAGGCGTAGACAAGGGTGGGGCTTCCCCGAGACCCCGAAACCTGCCCACCCCTGCACTGCACGAGGGAATGAAAAAAATGAGAAGGAAAAAAAAAAAAAAAATGTGCGGCGTAGTTCACGAGTCCCCGGCGACCAAAATTTTGCAATTCACAATAGCCATGCGTTATGGTGAAGTTACTTGCACTTGTAAAGTACGAGTACAGGTATTGCTACCTTCCCGTCCGCTCGGGAGGAGGAAGAGAGGGAGAAAAGAGGGAAAAAAAGGGACCACAGTTGTCATCTCCATTCGCCCGTTACCGGTACCGTGGGGCGGACGGACTTGGACAACTCCCTTTCTTCATTCCCCATATTCGAGTTATGGAAATTAGATTCTAGTAGAAGGGGAGGTAGGCCCGGGTGAAGGGGGATTAGTATAGACTTGCACTGCACTGTAACTCCACTCGTACTTTACAGTACGTACCTGTACGAGTACTCGTACAGTGCGGTAACGAACTTTCAGCCCGTTTACCAAATGTCTCGGGTGAAATGTTCGTGACAATCCCAGTTTTTCACGCAGAGGATTCAACCAAGCCCAAATGAAACACGGCCAGAGCTTGCAGAATCCCGAAAAAGAGGTTCCTACTAATTTATCAGAATACAGCTTCTGTGCCACTGAATCACATACAAAATTCTAGTCCTTGATTGTCCACATGCTCAACCCCTGTTGCAGCAGGTCAACCACTCTGTACCGGCTCTACTCGTAATTGGCGGAACGGCAACTTCCTTGAGTTGGGCCCATATCCTTGGGATATTTGAGAAGAGAAGGGGAAAATAAATAAGAATCCCGGTAAAAGCGGTTTGGGCCCCGATTACTCGGAATGTGGGACGGAAATGGCCCTTCAGTTGGTACTTGTACGGTTCATATTTTCTTTTTTCTTATTCTATCATACACTTTGGCTCTTGAAGAGGTGGAAGATGAGGAGACGACGGAGGGGAAGGTGAGGTTCGAGGCGCCGCGCGTAAATTTGGTCCTGGGCGGGTACAGTACAGTCCCACGTTCCGCAATTTCTTGAGCTGTAGCGAATGCGTGGTATGGATGGATACCTGTATCATACCGGTATGCACTTTACGATTGCACAACAATCACTACTTGAGCGCTGGTTGGGCAGAAAGCCAAATGAGGGATAAAGACGTGGTTATATTTAAACCCAAGTTATGGTGACTTTATTGGATGGAATGAGAACTAATAAAAGAAATAAACAAAAGCACTATAATCCATCCCTATTCAGATCCCCATTCCCCTTCCACTATATCGCACATCCAGAGAATTGCCTTTTGCGCATCCTCCTCCTCAAGATGCCCAGTCGTAGAAAATATCCCCACATCGACTTGATCGCCGCGGACAGCGACCTCGACATCAACATTTGTCTGGAATCATTAGTTAGCGGCTAGCGGTTGCCCGAGGTTTGAAGACTGGACGGTGCTTACCTTAATATCCTTCATGGACGCGTTTCTTTCAAAGTGAGCTCCTGGTCTGATAGCGGGCTCGGCGTTATCGGGGGTAAACTCTTCCAAAATAATTTTGTCTACCCCATTTATTGTCCCATCGTCGTTAGGGTTCCACGTGGAACTACCCGGAAGCTTCAGGAAGTTGAAGAAGCAATCGACCCGTATACCGGTCCATTCCATAATTCGCCATAATGAAATGACTGAGTTTTCCGGGTCCCCAATGGTCATTAGGTCATCTTGGATTTGGCGAGCCGCCTCTATAGTTGATTTATCTCCCGGAGCGCTGACTCGTATAGGGACGATATTGAGGGTGGGTGCGGCCAAAGTCTCTAGATCAGCTACGGGCAGATGTCTATTGGAAAGGTAAATGCCGAATATAACGTCTTTGCTTGATGCCAAGGGCCCATGCTTAGCACATTGCTGTTGTGCAAAGACTTTCGCGTAGGCTGCTAAGAAAACTGCTTGAACAGATATTCCACGTTGACGACATTCTCTCTCCAGTCTCGCGACGTTTGAAAGCGCTCTGGGCTGGAAAAGTGCAACTCGTTTCTCGGGTGGACTGGTGGAATGAGTTTTTTCAGGAGCGCAGGTTGAAGACGATTCGCTCAGGTATCTAGTCCAAAACGTGCGTTGGTGGCTAAGATCTCGAGACTGTATAAAAGCAACCGTGTCCATGAAATTGGGGCCTTCCGAATCAGGGGTAAGAAGTCGGCCAATCGGCCTATTGAGGAATCCTTGGAATTTAGCAATCAAGCGTGGAAGGCTAACACCATCATAGAGGGCATGGTGGATGGTGATGAAAATGATTGTCTCCGTCGGCGTGGTCAAGGTGCACAGGAGTACTGGTGGAAGGGCCATATCAAACTCCTTTGCCTGCTCTTGTGAAAGAAGGAATCGAATGAGAGCGTTGTTATCAGATGACGAAGATTGGTATTGCTTGCATTGGGTGGGCGGGCTCCGGAGAATCAATTGAACAAGCGGGACATCCGTATTATTTGTAGCGGCAAAAGTAGTACGAAGAATTGGCTCTTGTCGAACGAGCGCCTCCCATCCAGTTAGAACGCAAGAGGGCTCCACTCTCCTACACTTGAAAGAGAAAGTAGGCATAAAAAGTTTATAGCCCGAGTTTACCCAACTTGAGATCATGTAATGTTGACCGGGAGTAGCCGGCATCGTGAACTCAACACTGTGGTTCTTGACACTCTCCGGAACTTTCATGTACTCGAGATTTTCACAAGCCTTAGAGATAATACTTCTGCTATCCAAGGGATTCGCCGGCGGTGGTCCTTGGCTATTCATGGCGCAAACGGACGCTGCCATACGCTCGATTGTTGCAGCGCTAAGGATTTCGGCAACACCCAAGAAGATCAAGTTCTTCCTCAATTCCGACGAGAGAGAAATAGCGCTTATAGAGTCGAGACCCAGATGGAAAATGGTTTGAGTTCGTCCGATCTCCCTTTCGGGTGTGTTTGAGACCTTCGCGAGAACTTTGCGGAAGGTTTTTTCAAGAGAAGTCCATTCTCCAGTTTTCTCCAGGGAAACAAAATATTCTTGCTTTTCTTCAGATGACAGCGCATGGAATAGGGCTATTAACTCTGACCGGTCTATCTGATCGTTTGTGTACGGAATGGTTGCGGTGGGGATGATGAACGATGGAAGTGACCAATGCGGCAATTTTTGCCAGGCAGATTGAATTAGAATCTGGGTCGACACTTCGCTTTCGTTGATTATTGTAAGAAAAAGGATTAGCAAGTTCGTCCCCTTTTCTTCTAAAACAACTGCGCCACAATCAAGGATGCCCTCTATTGATTTTTTGATTATTGATTCTACTCCCCCGAGATCTATTCGAACCCCGTTCAGGGTTTTTATCTGACTTGAGCGGTCTGCGGTCGAGGTTGGGAGGTTTCCAAATGTAGGGCCAATTTCACGATACGTGATGGAAGGTTGGTTTGTATGGGTTACAATATCGACCAATAACGAGTCTAACATCTGAAGAAGCGACTGTGCGTCTTGCAAGCGAAACGCGGTCGATTTGCAAGCTGTCCTCCATATCAAATTGTTCCCGTCCTGTTCCATTTCAACACAAGCGTTATACTTCTATAGTTAGTCAAGCCCAACCAATGGTCTTTTAGTAGATCGTTACCTCAACATCGGACGTGCTATCAACCGAACGCCATAGAGCATTCTGCTTGTCTACTGACCCCTTGCGACAGCGCTGGTATATGAATAAGGTATCGAAAAGGCGCTGTCCATTACTATTGACAAGTTTTTGAATTTTCCGAAGAGGGGTATGCTGGTACTTGATAACATTTGCAGAATTGTCCTGCATATGCTGTAACATCTCTTTGTATGTCCCGTGGACAATCGCCCGGATAGGGACTGTATTCATTGCCGGAAACATAATCTCATCCGCAGAATCAAGGTCTCTTCCCGAAAGAACAGTCCCAAACATAACGTCTGGTTCACCCAAGTGATGAGCCAAGAGAAGGGCCCAGCACAATTGTCCGAGCGATTGAATAGTGACGCCTGCGTGCTTACAGAATGATTGAATTGCTGAGAACGGCATAGATGAGTTTTGTTCTCGCCTGTAAAGCTTTGGTTTTTCTATTTTTGTTGGTAAGGCTCGGAGGCTTGAGGGAGAGGCGCCTGCGAGAATTTGTTTCCAGAATATTTCGGCCTGTTTCTGGTCCTCGCCATAAACATTTTCCAATAGTAAACGACAAGATGGTCTCTGAGTTGGTGAATCATGGTATGCCCTCTGTACGTCCTCATGCAGTAATGCAATAGACCACCCGTCATAGAGAGCATGAGATATAGAAAGTATGAAATGTCTAGTCTTGGGGCTGTGCACGATCGCAACTCTGAAAGGAGGCTCTTTGAGCATGTCAACCTTCTCGGTAGCTTCCTGCATGACCTTCTTGAAAGCGGCGTGGAGATCGTCATTCTTGGCCACGGTTACTTCACCCCAGTGGAATTTTGACCGCTTGTGAACTAGTTGGCCAAAGGTGCACGGTGATTCTGGGAATAGATCAGATGCGCTGAAGAAGCTTGTTCTTAGAATTTCGGACCGTTCGACCACCGCAGCCCAGGCTCGTCGGAGATCACTAGTGTTGACCCAGTCCTCTAGCTCCAAGACATCATGGTTGAAATACAATTGGTAGTCTGAAGCTAGGGTTTCGGCTATCATGGCTTCCTGAAGTGGTGTGGTTGGGTAAATTGCCTCAATCTCGTCATGTCTCAGAGACTTCCACGCCTTTTGTATGCGCTCTGTGAACTTGGGGAGTAGCTCTTCCCCGACTAATCCCTTTGGCTGGGTTGAAGATCCGCGGAGAAACAGCTCCAACTTCCGGATGGTTGGATTTCGCATAATGTTGCTTACTGAGATTTTCATTCCATATCGACGAAGCCGTGAGGATAGCTTGATGGCGTCAATACTATCCAATCCTAGTTCGAATAGAGAAGAGTCCATAGTGACATTGGATTCGCTGGCCTCGGCAAGAGCCGCTATTGTTTGGCGTAGGATATTTGCTTCTATTCCCCAAGCGGAATGGTCTTGATTAGGGAGGCTGTCGATATTAGTCGCATTGGAGGCGGACTCTTTTTCTAGAGTGGATATAGCAGATGGTTTGCAGGATGGGTTGTCTGCAATGCACCGCATCTGTCCATCAAGACGCTCCAGTAGCTCCAAGGACATCTCTCTTGTCATAAGCGATCCTTTCGAGACTATTGAAAACTTCACTCCATTGGAGTGGCTTTGTTCAACTTCTAGTGCGAGTGGATACTGGTGGAATGATTAGCGACGGTGACACATCGAGCGAGAAATCAGAACACATACATCTGCAGAAGCGGTACTACCTAGAAGCTCCCAGAGGGGCCCCAGATCAGAATTCGTGGTCTCACCCTTTTGGTACACGAACAAGGTATCAAATAGTGGCCTCTGTGCCGTTGCTCGCATCCACTTATTGATGAGGCGCAGAGGCGTATGATGATACGGAATAGATTCTGAATAGAAGCGGTGGGCTTCCCTAATTAGTTCTTCCCACGATAGCGCGCTTTCGAGATTCAGTGTGGATGGAATAGTGTTGAAAAGTGGCCCGATAGTTTGTTCAATGTTCTCTAATGGAATAGAGCGACCAGAAACAACAAGCCCAAAGACCGGTCTCGGTCCTATATATCCTGACAGCACACTTGCCCACGCAGCTTGGTATACAGCTTGAGGAGTGCATCCAATCCTTTTACAGATAGTTTCGACACTTGTGATACTAGTTTTGGAAGCGAGCTGCACCACATGGTCAGCATCGTCGGGCACCCCGGGGGCTTCGGGAAAGCCGCAGGGGGTGACTTCAGCGAGTGTCTTCTCCCAGAATGTACGCGCTTTTGCGCTATCGACCGAAAGTAGATGTCCGACAATATCAACGAATTGATGAGGTCTTGGTTCGTACTGGCCATGATAAGCCATCTGGACATCCTGGAGAATCAATGGCAAGCTGCTCCCGTCGTAAAGTGCATGGAAGATATTAAGAACAAGTATTGTCCTCTTTGGGGTTTCCACAACGAGAAGATAAAGCGGTACCTTATGCAAGTCCCTATTTAAATCCGCGTGCCTGGCCAACTTATCTAGGATAGTGATTTGAGCAGTGTTATCGGATGTTGATATTTCTTCCCACTGCATCTCAGGATTCTTAAGGACCACCTGAGCATACCCATCCGGAGTCTCGCAGAAGCAAGTACGCAGCACTCCCGTTGAGCGTATTACCTGAGTCCATGCGTTGCGAATTCTACCAATTTTATTTGGCGAGCCTATCACCATCGGGAAAGAATTATAGTAAAGTGGCTTTCCGGAATCAAGGAATCTAGCGATCATCCCCTCTTGGAGTGCTGTGCATGGTGCAATCGACTCGACATCGCCGGGGCTTAGGGAAAGTTGTTCGTAAACCTCAAACGTGTTCCTGTTGGCAAATGCTAATAAGTTCTGTTTCATAGATTCAGTAATGGAGAAATCTTGTGAAGTGCTGACGTCTCCTTTGCCTAGTTCCGAAGCTAGCTGGGATAGGACTGGGTCTGTGTATGGGGTTAGTAGATATTAGGCGAAGGTAGCGAGGGTCTTACACTGCATAATAATCGAAACGGACGCCGCAACAAAACCAACCCTCTTTAAGCGACGAGCCAATCCAACTACAGAAACAGAGTCCAAACCAAGCTCGAAAATTGTGGAAGACCGCTTGATATCAGAGGCCTTAAGGGAAGTAACATCAGCGAGCACAACTCTTAGCCGTTCCTCAACCTCAGACCAACTCCCATCTTCTGCATCCTCCCTTTTCGAAATCCGCTGAAGTGTCTCGAGTGATGTTTCATGATAGAGTATCTTAAGTCTCTTGCTGTCAACTTTGTTATTTACCGAGAGTGGGATCGCAGAAACAGGCAAGAAGTGAGTGGGGACCATATACACAGGCAGGTTGCGTCTGCACGCATCTGCTAAGATAGTGACGACCTGAGAGTATTGTTCTGGGTCATCAAGAACTTTGATATCGGAACGATTTACGCGCCCTCTAGTTTCTAACTCGATGAACGACACAAGTTGGTCTTTCTGCTGCTTTGGATGCCTCAAGACCAGAGTCGCCACACCCCGGGCGTGAACGGTCGCCTGTTTGAGAGTCTCGTTAATTTCACTGATTTCCAATCGCTGCCCGCGAAGTTTGACTTGGTCATCCGCTCTCCCTGCGAAGTCAAATGTGCCGTCATGGAAGAGACGGACCAAATCACCGGTGCGGTATACCCTAGTGCCTAGGGATTCGAGGTACGGGAATTTTTCTTCGGTAAGTGAGGGACGATTCAGATATCCGCGTCCCACCAGCTTTCCCGAGACACAGAGCTCCCCGATGGCACCGCGAGGAACTGGTTTGTCGGTGCCTGGAGCCAAAACAAACGACCCAACATTGTCGAATTGTCGCCCAATATTTGACGGCTTTCCGCCTGCTGGGACTCTAGGGTACATTGTGCACCCGATTGTAACCTCAGTCGGCCCATATCTATCGAATGTTAGTTCTCAAGCTAGGGTGTTAAGGTGATACCGGGATATTACCCATTGTAAATACACCCCTCCTCTCCCCAAGCATCCAAAATCTCTTGCTTAAGTTGCTCACCCCCGGTGATAAACACACCTTTACACAACAACGGTGCATCTTCGGGCTTAATCAGCGAAGCAAGACTCGGCGTAAGATCCAAATGTGTTATCCGTAACTCCCGAATAGTAAGCGCAAGGTCTTGGAAGATAAGATCTCGAGGAGCAGACGTCACGCAAATACCCACGCTCCAACTCCAAAACTGCTCCAGAACACTAACGTCGAAGTGGAAAGACGCGAACTGGAGGAAACGGGATTCGGAGTCCCAATGGGGGCTGAATAGGCGCTGGAAGGCAAGCATGGCCTGAACGGCGTTCTCGTGCGTTAGTTCGCAGCCTTTCGGTGTTCCAGTTGTGCCCGAGGTATAGAGGCAATAGCATAGGTCGCTAGGCTTGAGATCTGGGATTTCGGGAGTCTCTGTGGAGGCCGTCCTAATTGCGACGCTGCTTTGCATGCTGGCAATCTCTGCATCTACTTTGCTGCTTAATTCATTCGCGAATTTATCCATAGTGAGGATGTGCCTTGCTTTCGAGTCGGAAATTATGAAGGACTTCCGATCTATGGGTGCACTGTAGTCCAGGGCGAGAAATGCACAGCCGGCTTTCAGAATTCCAAGAATGGCGAATGATGCCTCCGGGCATTTTTCAAAGCAGATTCCGACGATATCTCCAGTCTTGACTCCTTGGTCTAGTAAGTAGTTTGCAACTTTATTACCCTCTTCGTCGAGCTGAGTGTAACTCCATGTCTCCTTGATCGCACATCCTTCTTCGATTGAAGTTGCAAACTCATATGCAACTTTGTCCGGAACGAGTTGACGATGCTTCTCCACAAATTTGTGGAGAAGATGGGTATCGGTGGAGATTTCGTCCTCCCTCGCAGGGGTATATGAGAGGGCTTCCTTAGGGAATCTGTAAAAGTCAGTGCTGGGGCTATCGGGCGATTCTAATATGTCGATCAAGGCCGCCTGGAACTGACGGAGCAATAATTCTGTCTGCTCTGGTGGCATGATATTGTCCTTGCATGTAGCGCGGATAAGTAAAGAATCGTCTGCAGTAGGTTCTAGCTCCAGAGATATCGAGTAATCGACAGATACATCTTCTTGTACTACCTTCCAGGCAAAATCAACCTCATTCTGACGGACTTCACCCTTTTGATATACGAAAATCGTGTCGAACAGAGACAGTTCAGTATGACCCAGCAACTTCTGTATCGATCGAAGCGGCGTATGTTGATGTTTGAGCATTTGGGAATTGCTATTCTGAATGTTGAACGCAAGTTCCTGATTGCTTCCTGTCAACACGCATAGTGACGGGAGGGTCGCGATACAAGGAAACGCAAGATCCTCGGAATCACTAATCCCGGATCTTCCCGAAATTACTGTTGTATGTCAGTACTGTCTGCCAACACCGGTTCGGGTGGAACGCGAACCAACACCCATTGCCACACTGGTCTCTCCTGAATATGCTGACAAAATCCTGGCCCAGGCTGCTTGCCCAGCCGCATGCACCGATATCCCTAATTGCCTACACGCCTTTTGAATATTCGATAAACTCCAATTTGCGTCGATAGAAGATACATGGCTCGCGGTGCTCTTAACTCTGATGGGGGACAGATTCGGAAACCGAGAGATTGTGCAGCCGTCCAAATGCTTTTTCCAGAATTCCTGATCGTCCGATATAATCTTACTATCCGTGGTATGTTTCACAATCTCGCTAAGGGCACGTGAAAACTTGTGCGATAAGGAATAATCTCTCCTGGCGTATTGACGAGCAACGCTGTGAAGAATAACTGCTAGGGAATGCGCATCGTATAACGCGTGGTGTGCGGATAACATGAGGAGATGATTCCCGGAAGATCTTTGGAGTAGAGTGAGATTCCATGATGGCAGGGAGAGATCTTTGAGCGCGATAGAGGTCTTCTCGCCTTTCTGGTCTGTGATAAGCTCCTCCGAGTTTTCTTCTGTTGGTACTACTGACCAAGGTAGTTCAGTGGTGGTCGGATCATGAACAATCATTGAAAAGGAATGATAAGCATCGTCAACACTAACAAAACCAGTTCGTAGAATATCGAGTGACTTAAAAACAACATCCCAGGAATCCCGCAGTCTTAGTAGATCGATATCTTCCGAAAGCTCGAATACGATATGGTTAAAATATAACTTCCCTTTGGACCGCAAAAATTGGGAAAGCATCCCCTCCTGTAGTGGTGTGCAAGGATACACACCAACTAATTTCTCTTTCGATAATCCTGTTTCAACACAAACCTGATCCATAAAGCGCGCCGCAAATCCGGAGAGCAGCTCATCTGATGTATCCTCTGTTGTTGATACTCTGGTGATAGGTTTCAGCTTAGGAGAAAGTGAAGTAATAGAGGGTCTTTCCAATATATCAATCACGGAAACCTGCAGCCCAACCTTCTTCAACTCCATGGCAACCTGTGAAGCACTGATACTGTCAAGTCCGATCTCGTAAATCGTGGAAGACCGTGAAATCTGCTCGACTGGCACTCGCGATATTTTTGAAAAGGCCTCTCTGGCCTTTGCCTCGTTTTCAGTCCATTGAGTACCATCGTCTGCATCAATAAATCTAGAGGTGAGGGACCGGACATTCTGCTCTTTAAATAACGCTACTAAAGACCTCTTGTCAATCTTGCCGGCTGCTGAAAGCGGAATGTGATCTATGATCAAGATAACTCCGGGAACCATATATCGGGGGAGCTTGGCTATCACGGCATCGCGGGACGCTATCATAATTCCGTCCAATTGTGAATCGACCTTGAGAACACTCACACTCGTCCCATGTTGCTTTCGGTCTTCCAGCGAAAGGAATGACACAAGTTGCTCCTTGGAGTCGCCGCTGTGCTTCGTGACTATAGTCGTAGCATCTCTAACTCTGTCATGTGCGCTCCTGAGCACGGAATTGATCTCGTCCAACTCCACACGGAGTCCCCGAATCTTGACCTGGTCATCCGTGCGCCCAATGAACACAAAACTTCCATCCCCCAGCTGACGAACTAGGTCACCGGTCCGGTAGATTCGACTTCCTTCAAAGTTGATAAATCTGTTTGCCGTGAGTTCCGGGTTGTTATGATATTCGCGCGCAACCTGAGGACCCCCAATACATAGCTCGCCGCTCCCAAAGATTGGGACCATTGATCTCCCATCCTTGGTGAGCACACGGAAGCTCACAGTGTCGAATGGCTTGCCGATATTCGAAGACTTAATTTTTTTATTAGTGGGAACGATCGTGCAACACATTGCCGCCTCTGTGATAACACGTCAGTATCAATCAGATATCAGGGTGATATCGATTACCGGTAGGCCCATAGGAATTAGCGCAGCGCCCATCCCAATCACTAACAAGATTCTGAGGCATGGCCTCTCCAATGCAATAAAGTAATTCAACGCCCGGCAAATTCTCTGCATGTAGAGTTGATGCCACAGTGGGAGTCAAGTCCAACATCGTAGCTCCCATTCTCTTGATCGTTCCTTCCAAATCACCAAGCAAGTAGCTCTTGTCCGCGGAGCAGAGAGTAAACCCATAAGTCCACGCCATGAAACAGTCGTAATAGCACATATCAAATGTTGTGGCGGCAAACTGTAGCAATCTCGAGTCTTCTCTCCATGGGATGATAGGTTTGGAAGCATGGAGCGTGTGGACTGCACTGCCGATCTCCAATGATACAGCCTTGGGCTTTCCTGTTGATCCGGAGGTATAAATTCGATATGCCAAGCAATTTTCCTTGAGATCTTCGATCATAGGGTTCGAATTTGGCCAAGATGATAGATCCTCACTCGCGATATCCAAAAGCTCTACCCCTTTTGGGATTTTTAGATCTTGAGCAGTAGTCTTAGTTGCAAGCACTATCTTAGCACCAAGTTCCTCAATCATAAATCGCTTCCGTTGTTCCGGCAAGCTGGGGTCAATTGGGGTGAAAGCAGAACCGGCTTTCAATACGCCCAGAACGCAAATATAAAATATAGGAGATTTTTCCAGACATAACGGTACCGCATCGTCTCTCTTCACTCCTTTGCAAATTAGGTAGTGTGCAACCCGGTTAGCGGCTTGATTGAGCATTTCGAATGTCCAGGCAGCAATCTCGCCGTCCTTATTAAGATATTCCAGGGAATTACGTGATGGGCTCTCTTCGGCATGACGCTCGAATTCAGAGTGTAACAGGCCCAGGCTCCGCTCATCGTGGGTGTTGACTGGTACACAATTTGCATAAGAAAGATAACTTTGGCCGAAAGACGTAAAATCCGCAGCAGAACCAGACGGGTGGCTAAGAGAAGAGACAATAGCACAATCTAACTGTCTTACGAGAACATCTGCATGCTCTTCTAACAATATATCTCTGGTTAAATATCAGTATTATGTTATAAGATCTCCACATCTTTATTAAACTTACCTCCGGAAGTGAAGCGTAATATCCAGAGTGTCCGTGTTCCGAGACGGCACAAGCTCCACTACAATAGAGAAATCCAGGTCTCCCCGGTCGCCAACCTCGGACCACAGTTCTTCGATATCGGGCGGCCGACTGGCATGTTGAAGAATGAATAGAGTATCGAACAACCTCTGTCCCTGGGTGCGCAGAGCAGTCATTATTCTTCGTAACGGGGTGAGTTGAAATGGTAGCAACTCTGCATTAACCAATTGCAGCCTGTTCGTGATATTCCAATTCGTTGAGTCAGGTGAAACTTGAACTCGGATAGGCACGGTATTGAAGCATGGGGCAATAATATCTTCAACCCCCTCGACGGGAATAGTTCGCCCGCTGACCACATTACCGAAGCAAACATCGGTTTCGCCAGTGTATACCGAAAGTAGCCGTGCCCAAGCTGCCTGCCCAAGGGCTAAGAGGGATGTCTGCAAACCTCTACAGCCTCCCTCAATGGAGGTTAAACTTCTTGAGGAAGAAATCTTCGCTAAACCCATTCCCGCAAGTGAGCTCCCTGCTGCGGCCGTCAATCCAGTCAAGTCTGGGAACAAAGGAGATTCAAGCCCTTCTAATGCTTCCTTCCAAAAGTCGTCGGCCCTAGCCAAGTCTTGATCTTCCACGTACTCCAAGTATCGCTTGAAAGTACCCCTGGCAGGAAGTCCCAAACCGTGGTAAACCCTTCGTACGTCATTCAGTAACATATCCATGGCAAACCCATCGTACAAAGAGTGATGGAAGTGCATAACCAGGATTGCCTTTTCGGGGGTCTGTAGTAACGAGAACGCATATGGTGGCTTCGAGGTTCCTAGAGATTCGGATGTGGAAGTAATCCGCTGGTCAACTACTTCCTCGATATCTACGCCGGCCTCTAACTGGAAGGACGACCAAGGCAATTGATAATCGTTAAGCACCACTTGGGCAAAGACATGTCGTGGATGAGATGTGACGCAAAAACATGTCCTCATTATATCGCGTGTCTTGAGCATAACTTCCCAGGCATCCCGTAACCGTGCTGGATCTGCACTAAGATTAAGTGTGGTGTGATTGTAGTAAAGACTCAAGTCCGCATCCCCATCCCGGGTAAGCATCGCCTCTTGCAGCGGGGTGCAAGGAAGAATCATCTGAACTCCATCCTCGGAGAGACCAAGTTGGCTCAAAACTGAGCCCTTTACTTCCGCAACGAATTCATCTATACCACCGCTAGTAGCGGGCTTGCTCAGTACTGGATCAGACATAGAAGCTTGCAATAAATTTGCAATAGAAACCACACCCGGGTTCCGCATAATCTGGGAAACGTCCAGTCTGATATATCCCGCTTTTGTGAGACGGCTGCATAATTGGATAACTGATATTGAGTCAAGTCCCAGTCTGAATATGGATGTTGCTCGCCTGACCTCTCTAGGCGCCACTCCTGCGACCTCAGCGATAGCTTTTGCAACATCGCGTTCTAGCGCTGTCCATTCTTGCTCATCCACCCCAGACGAAGATTCCGGCGTATAGGATTCTGCAACTTCGCTGTCAAGTGTAAAGTACGTAGACTGCAGTAGCTTTGTATCGATCTTGCCTTGGGCCGTCATTGGCAGCGCAGTCAACGGGATTATAGCAGGCGGAACCATATACGGCGGAAGGAAGTTTGTCAAGTGTTGGAAAAGCTCCGCAACTAACTTCTTTGCCCCTTCATTATTCTGTATTGCCGAAAACTCTGAACTCTCCAATCCATGTGGAACGACAAAAGCGATGAGCTGATAGGCACCTTGTGGCCCTCTTCGGACCGGGGTTGCCACTGCGTCGATAACCTTTTTTGATCGAAGTAAAGCCGAGGCTATTTCCCCAAGCTCGATTCTCTGACCTCTAATTTTGACTTGGCCGTCCTGCCGTCCGACGAACTCGAGTGAACCATTAGGCAGCATCCTTCCGATATCGCCGGACCTGTATACTCTGCCATATTTGACATGGGAAATAAATTTGCGGCTTGTGAGTTCGGGCATATTCAGGTATCCGCGCCCCTAAATCGTCAGTTAGCCCCCACAGAGACGGTAACCCAAACGGATCATAATACCATACCACTTGAGCGCCCCCGAAACAAAGCTCCCCGATTCCTCCCAATGGTAACACTCTAAATTCCTCTTCAAAATCTACAAGCACGAATGCGGAAGTGTTCGTGAACGGTGTCCCAATATTATTGATATGGTCGATCCCTCGTACATTCGGTCTTACGGTGCATATGTTCACGGTTTCGCTTGGCCCATACCCTGCTAAAATTTTAGTTCCAGCCTCTCCTGGATGGGTTCAATAAATCTAACCTTGGAAAAGTCCCTTTCCTGCCCAATCATTATAAACTTTAGGCGTTAAAGCCTCCCCTGCCACCACCAAGAACTCCACTCCTGGCACGTTCTCAGGACTGACTAGTGCGGCAACTGTTGGCGTCATGCTCAAGTGCGTGATTCCCATCGTATTGATTACACCCTCAATATCGCGGAGTAGTACATCCTTTGTTCCAGAACATAGGCAAATTCCCATGGTCCATGCATAAAAGATCTCGAAAACAGATACTAGTCAAATGTCAGTTGGACTTCCTTTAATTAGAAGCTGAAAAAAACACACCATCAAAGCCAATTGAGCAAAACTGCAGAAGCTTAGACCATTCATTGGTGGGATACAACCCTTTCAAAACCAGGAGATTATCTACGATATTCGCGTTAGTAACTAGCACCCCCTTCGGCGCACCCGTACTTCCAGAAGTGAACACAGCGTATGCTAATGCATCACCACTTCGGGCCATACCGGGATTGCTATCAGTGTATTCGTCGATATCTGTAGCATCCACCGGCACCACCTGTGAACCCTCCGGTATTCCTAACTTATCTTTCAAATTGTCAGTAGTCAAACAAATCCTTACCCGGGAATTTTCCAAAATCTGTCTCATCCGCTCCTTTGGAGTTTCTGGTGTGAGTGGGAGGTAACCTGCGCCTGCCTTGAGAACCGCCAATATGGTTATATACATCTCGGGTGACTTTTCCATGCACACACAGACAAGGTCGTCGGCAATGGCGCCCAGTGAGATTAGATGGTGAGCGAGTTTGTTTGCATGTGTGTTGAGCTCGGCATACGTGAGCCTTATTGAGTCGGATGTACCATTGGCAATGTTTTTTGCGTAATCAAGTGCAATAGCTCTAGGTCTCATCACCGAAGAGAGCTCAACAAGTTCTGCAAGAGAAGCTACTTCAGTATCTGCAGCCGGTGTTGGATACGGGTTCTCAATTGCGAGAATATCTTCGTCCAAGGAATCCAATAGGTTATCCAGCTTGCCCGCAGGTTGAGAAATAATCCCAGGCACAAGTTGGTCTAACTGTCTTAGCAAAAGCTTAATTTGTGAGTGCGGTAGCACCGCGTGCTGGTATGTCGCCCTGATTTGGATAACATCCTGGCTGGGTTCGATTTCTAGTAGCAAAGGAAACTAAACCACGCAAATATTAGCATCAACGTTCATAGAATCTCACAAGATGGAGGCGCTTGCCTCAAGTTTGTCTCGGCTCTCAACCTGTCTTACTAATTCGGGATCCCCCTCCGTCTTCAGTGTTTGTTGCCACACAAGTAATGAGTCGAACTGTATTCCTTCAATTTCGCAAATCTTCCTAATCTCTCTCAGTGGAAGCCCGGAATGCTCCAATATCAGCCGATTACTCCCATGGACATCTCGAACAATATCCTCCGTAGTGCTTTCGCGCCTTATTTTCACTCTGAGCGGTAGCGTGAGAATGGTTGGTCCCAAAATATCCTCAACGCCGGGTAGAGCCACTGTTCTTCCCGAGACTACTGTCCCAAAAACAACATCCCGAGATCCCATGTAGAGACTCAACAGATAACCCCAAGCCACTTGGATGAGTGTTTGCGGACTAACCCCCATCCTCCTTGCCGAGGCCTCATATTCCGAACGGGAACTTCGTAAGTTAATCATCTCTGTGAAGACGCCAGAAAGAGCAGCAGTATGCCCATGGAAGCAAGGTAGTCTCGAATTGGGGGCCCCGTCTAAAAAGTCTTTCCAAAACCCCTCAGATACTCCCTTTGACTCCCTACTTCTTGATAGTTCGTATTGAACCATATCTCGGTATTGTGGTCGGATGGGTAATTTGGCACCCCCGCTTAACTGAAAGGAGAAGTCAGAGAGCACTTGTTCCCAACACCAACCATCGTAAACAGCGTGATGCAGGTGTATGCTTAACTGCCAAACATCTGTGCTCTTAACCAAGAAGGCTGCAAAAGGCGGTTCAATAAGCTGCTCAATCGACGGCACTTCCCACGATGACCGAACTTCGTTCGCAAGGGAAAACTGTCCAGCCCTAGATGATTTCCAAACGACTTGCGCGAACCCATCATCAACGGTTACAAAACCCGTTCTCAGAATCTCGTTATGGTCAATGAGATCCCGGAAGGCCTCCTCAATAGCGGAAGCCGAGAGCCTCAAAGGTAGCTCCAACAAAACCCAGTTGCAGTATGCCCCCGGGTCTCTTGCGGTCTCAACAAGCATAGCTTCCTGTACAGATGTGCAAGGAATAATGTCTTGGACACCGTCTTGTAACGATGACAGTTTGGGTTGTATAGCTTCCTGTATCGCACGAAATCTGGCCGTGGTAATATTCTCGTTAACTAAAGCATTCGGAGATGGCGTTCCGGTTGGGTGCATTATGGAAGCAATGCCATCGACGCAATCAGCCCGTAGAACATCAATTACCTCGATAGTAAAGCCTTGCGATCGTAAGACTGATACTAGACGAATAGCTTGTATTGAATCGAGTCCCATCGCTCCCAGGCTGCCCTTCCTAGACGGCTTGTGACCTAATAATTCCTCGACACTATCAAAGACTATTTGGTTCATATCGTTGAGCCCCTCGGCACCATTCTCCGCGGCAGGTGCTTGAGATGTCTCCAAGTATTGCTTATCCAGTTTCTTCCGATCAGCCTTACCAGAAGGTAATCGTGGTAATTCGTTGAGGACCACAAGATCACTGGGCACCATGAATCCCGGGAGCCACTTCCTACAAACATCATATACAGCTTCCCGCTCCACTCCACCTCCAGCATAGACAACCACCCTGCCCCTCAATACACTCGCAACAGCACCTTTAACGCCTGGTGTTCTCAACACAACCTCTTCTATCTCTGCTAGTTCTATCCTTTGGCCTCGAAGCTTAACCTGACCAGCTCCAACTCTACCAAGGCACTCAATCCTTCCGCTCGATAATATCCTTGCAAGATCTCCTGTGCGATAAAGTCTACCGTATTCTTTTGAATCGATAAAAACTTCCTTCGTTAATTCTGGACGATTCAAATATCCATCAGCAAGTTGGTATCCCCCAACCGCGAGCTCGCCAACCCAACCGAGGGGTAAAACCTCTAGGTCGGATGTAGTTGCAGAAAGAATGAAGGCAGAAACTGTTTTAAACGGTACTCCAATATCCCCAATCTTCCAGCTCTTCTCAAAGCCGATTGCAAGGGAACAATGTATTGCCGCCTCAGTGGGCCCATACATACCCTGCAGCACGTCACTGCCGAACTGGTCCACGACCTGGCGGGTCAACATCTCACCAATTGTAAGTAACACCTTTAGCCCGGGCACTTTGTCTCGCTCAATAATAAGCCCGCCCGCAACCGTTGGTGTCAGCTCCGCTCCGTCTACATCGAGCATGTTGATCACTCCAGGAAGATCCGCAAGGAGCCTCCCCCGGTCACAACCAACAAGGGTCTTTCCGCGGAATAATGGGAAAAACATTTCAAAGACAAAAACATCGAATGTAGGCGCGGCAAACTGAAGGAATCGTTCGAACAATGGAATGTGTTCCTCATGGGCAAGGAGGGATTGGGTAGCTGCTGAGTGAGAGATTATGACGCCTTTTGGAGTACCAGTGGAGCCGGAGGTGTACATAATATACGCTGGTCCATTGGGGTTGATGTTCGAAGATAGCATGAGCTCTTCTGGAGCCGTTGTTACGTCGCTATCAGCGAGGATAGTTGGCGGACATTTTTCCCATGTAAAAATGTTGGAGAACGACGACGCGGTAACAATAACGCTTGCTTTCACATCTCCAACAACGAAGCGAATTCGCTCTGCTGGGGCGTCAAGGTTTAGTGGCACGAACGCTGCACCAGCTTTTAAGACACCGATCAAGGCGATATATAGTTCCGGCGACTGTGGAAGCAAGACCGGAATAGCATGTCCGGTTTTGCCATGGGGTAGGTACTCGAGAAGACGAAGGGCAAATTGGGTTGAAAGAGAGTCGAGCTGCTCATACGTATGACTCTTTCTTGCTTCTCCGTCTGCATACATAAAATCCAAGGCTTTGCAGTCACAATGTGCTGGAGATATGAGTTCGTGCAATAGCTCGGGCCCGGCCAACTTTTGAGGGTGAGGGTTCAGAACCGATAGCTCGCCAAATGACTCATAGTCGCCGTTCCCGAGTGTAGCAAAAGCCTCCGCACTCTGCGCATTGACACTGAGCTTGGCAAGCTGCTCCAAGGGTGAAGTGGTGTTTCCCGATAGAACCCGGAGAAGTTGTGAAGCGAGTGATTGCAGGTGCCGAAGGGGAACGATCGCCTTGGAAGCGAAAATGGAAATGATCGACCTTGAGAAGTTTAATACCAAATACACATCGGGCAGTCGTGTAGCTTCAACCTATTATGTCACATGAATACATTGGTCAGAGGGGTAAAACATGACACCAGAATTCATCCCGATAATGAGGGTGATGATGCGGGGACACATACAGTTTGGAAGTAAATACCGGTACATCCCCGTAAAGCGCCTTCCTGTTCCCCAACTTGGATATTTTCCCCAGGAATGTACTCCACATCGCCGGTCAGGAAATCAACATTAACGACTTCGTCTTCGACTCGAAACACCACATTATCCCCGGGTGCGTAGCCCCTCAATATCTGTGACCACGAGACGAGGATAGATTCCTTTGGGGTATCACTGGGGATTCGAAGCTCCACCAAGCGATGCGTAGGCAGCCCAGGATCGGGGGTTGGCGTTGCAGCAATGCAGAGGTTCGGGAAAGTGGTGTAACGATGCATCTGGTGGTCAGCCGAATTACTTGACATCGGATTGGTCAGTTCAAAAACGGCTGGACTCTACAACGACCTGGGACCGGCGATACTGTGGAAAAGGCTTGAATTGATAAAACAAAGGGGCTCCCAAAGAAATGGCGGTCCAAAGAAGCTGGATTATAATTTTCTTGGAGCTGCTAGTAAAGCAAGGGTTGCTAGAATTGTTTGTATTTGAGACTCCGAATCAAAGCGCTGACAGTGGTGATCACAAGAAGGATGCGAACACGAAACAACTCGAGAGAGTATTTATCGACTCGTAAAAAAGCAAACAGAGATGCCCCACCGAACGGATATCGCGGTCAGCAGCTCTACAGCAGTTTTGTTTGGTCAGTGGATTTCCGGCCGCGACAAAACGACCTTGTCCCGGAGGAAAATGTGATTTCGGTAGATGTAGAAGCGTTCTTGTCAAGGAGGACTGGCAAAGCAAACAAAGGTTTGGAGTTTTTACCAAGGAGTTCAAGGTATGGCCATATCGAGTAGATACTCTGTAGATAGAATAGGTGGGTTAAGATGCTCTTCTTCTCCAAGCCTCGATGGGCGGGCGTGATCTTTCCCAAATGCTATTTGAGTACAAGTGCAATATTGAAACAGAATTAATAGAGCAGTATAGGTAGCCCCCTCACCCCGTGACGGCCACACCTCCTCCACCACAATCTAGGTAGCCTCGCGTAGCCAGGATTAGATAAAAGAGGAAAGTGGGAGCTAGAGTGAATTGCGGAGGGATATTGGAAGTTAACCTGGACCGCTACGATGCTAAGAAAACAAATACCCGCCTTGTACGTAAAAGATGGTACGAATGGTGAAGTACTGCAAAGTACTGGATTGTAAAGTGGATTACCGGTAGGTGCGGCAGAGCGTTCATGGTGCTTGGCGTGCGCATGCAGCACGAGGTTAACCACATCATTGCTTCCTTCATCCGTTTATCTGATCACCAGGGGCCCATGGACCCTAGCCCCCACCCGAGTGACCCAGTGTCCAAGCCAACGGTACCATATCGTACCATACACCTTCTCTGATCCATGTCAAAGAGAGGAAAGGGGTTTCTCCCCCCAAAAAAAACCTGAAGAAATGGAGGATCCCGCACCCATTCCCCTCGACAGGGAATGGTTGGTAAAATTGGAGATACCCGCCGATTGTGGGTGAGTACTGTACTCGTAGCTGGTTGTCGGATCAGGAGGACCCAAAGGTTACCGCGTCACATTTTATGGGACACACACTAAAATTCGTCATCATCTATGAACCTTTTGTGACGAGTTCTTCTTAGGCACGCTCCAAGCACGAACAATCGGAGCTAAGATCAAGGTTTAAAAGGGGACCACTTGTCACCCATCGGATAAGATTGATTGATTAGGAAATCTTGTCTGATGGATTGATTAGACCAAGATTATGAACCTGATCGACAGATAAAAATTTTCATGTCGCTCCCCGTTTTTGCAGGGGTTAGGGTAAAATGTAATACAAGTATTATCAGATGCAGTTGCGTCAAAGATACAGTACGGTAGGTGTCAATAGACTACAACCAACGTCTTCCGTCCTTTAACAGTTCCCCGACCACCCTAACTCCACTTGACCTGCAGAAAAAGAGGGCCCACATGGAAGAAACCGGACTGTAGGTGTGAATTTCTTTGAGGGACTTTTTCTCCTTCTTTCATCTTTCTCCGATCCTTGTACCTTATGATACCCCTAGGGTTTCGGTCCGGCAAAAAGTTTCGGCCGCGAATCGTAGTGAATATTGAGCATAAATCCCATTCGGGAGATTGGCAAATTTTGAAGCTAGCTTCCAAAGGAAGAAGTCAGATTCATTCAATGGACTTTGCGGTTCTCCTAGCTAGGAAACAACCCCATTACTTTGCCCAATTGGGTTTCCCATGCCCCAGGGGAGTGCGGCGCTTGGCTATCATACCTGGCCAAATGGGAGTATCTGGAATTCGTCACGAGTAGCCTCATGGGCTCTCGCGATGCGCATTCCTGTCATGTCTTATGAGATCGGTACGATATGTCCTAGGAAGAGCTGAAGTACTCGTAGATACTCGGAACTATTACACAAGACCATTCAATTTCAAACTCGAGGGATCGTTCTCGAGCAGAGCTCCGATATTCCAATATTAAATCTAGTAGTAGAACTCAAGCATTCATCTTTTTGAAGTTCCGAGGCGTTCTGAGGTTAAAGTACAATGAATAATGTAGCCTTCTTTCGTCTTTTTTTTGCTCGCCCACTCGAGACCCCGACGGGTGGCAGGCTCTTATGACCATTTCATCTCCCTCTTTTCTTTCCACCAACCTGCCCTTCCCGTTCTTGGCCGAGTCTATTTTACAATTGTGCAACAATATGGGGACCTCCGCCCCCGCCCCGTGTCGCAGTTAGTCCTTCTCCCCTCCTTCTCGGTGGAGGCTCAGCAGCATACAGCTACACCTCCTACCACACCTCAAAACCTTCCGTTCTAACTAGAAGTAGTTTCTCGGAGGCCATCACCCGGACAAAATTTTATCAGATAAATTTCAGATATACTCCACCTACTACCAATGGCACTACTAGCAATCCGGTTATGGTGCCTGAAATAGTACAGTTTTTCTCTACCTCAATCCGAGGACATCGAATGGAAACGCTAGAGCGACGGAGAAGGGGAAACGACTTGATCACTAGCGCATCTTTCCTTACCATTCATACACAGTATTCTAATTGTTATTGCTGCCATAACCCTACATAGATCTTCTTTGTTAAGCCCCCACGTCTTATACGGGGTTAGCATTACCCTCTTCATTACCAACACAATAGGTGCCCTCACTGTGTAGAAGCTATTGCCATCCGGTCACTGATGGACCCACTTCAATTCTAGGGAGCTAATCCTGCTTCGACCCCTTTGTGTGTGTATCATGAGGATCAATCAACATCCAGTCAATCTATCCCCCACTTATTCCAGACGCTATAGAACTTCAGTTCCCGGACACATACTCCCCACTCATACTTCTCGGGTTTCCTAATCTAGGGACTCTTTCTAATTCCCCTTCGTGCTGAATCTTATTGCTTTTTTTCTTTCTTTTTTTCCCATTTTCCTCCATCTGCTTCTTTCGGATTTTGCCCGGCTTTTCGAGTTGATACCCTGGATTCTATAGCTTCGCCAATACTTGGATTTTCAGGGTCTCCTCGAGCTCCCACTATCACCCGTCGTTGAGCTATTCACTTAGAAGTTCCAAAGATCTTGTGAACGCAGATCTGGTAGCAACAGACATCTCGGCAGCTTCTTTCTACAAACCATTGGGCTGAGAATAAAGCATAATGGCGTCCTTTCCAGGCGCAAACCAACCTTTGTCACGACGCCGTTCGCATCATTCAATAGACATTGCTTCTCTAAACCCCAGCGCTCCAACTAGTCCAAACACCACCCCTGATCCAGCACCTCCAGCGATTCCAGTTCTTGAGCAGCTTTTAGGTTTCAAATCCAGGACTTCTTATTTTTCGTTATACCGACCTCTCAATACGTGGCATCAACGAACTGTCCTCGCATTAGCAATCATATTATCCTTAGCAGCTGGAGCTCCGCTGCCTATCATTGGTGTAATCTTTGGAAAGATAATAAACCATTTCCCGCCTGACGAAGATGAATTGCAGACCAGAATTTGCCAGCTGCTGGGAGTTTCTGTTGCGTATTTCTTCACTACTTGGGGATGGGCTACTTGTTGGGGTATAGTTGGAGAAAGAGTCTCGCGAGGTTTGAGAGAGGATTTGCTGAAGAAAGCAGTGGGAATGGAGATTTCCTACTTTGAAATTGAGTGTCCAGATGTATGTTCTCCGATAATCTTTGGCGCACCCCTATCATTACTGATCTTATCAGATCGCAAACCGGTTAACAGCAGACACCCAAACAATCCATTTGGGCACCTCCGAAAAAGCCGGCCTGTTTCTTCAATCGGTCTCTTATTTCATCGCTGCATTCACCGCCGGGTTCTTCTTGAATGCCCGCCTAACCGGAATTCTGTTTGCAGCGGTGGTCCCTGCCATGCTTATTGTCATTACCTTTGGCTCTAAAGTAGTCGCCAAATATGCTAGAGAGGCAACCGAATACTCAGAAAAAGCAACTTCGGTGGCTGAAGGTGCCATAATAGCGGTGCAAGTGGTTCAAGCATTCGATGCGCTGGATAAACTTGCCGATGAGCATCTGAAGTTTATGCGGCCTGCCATCATGAAGGGAGCCAGCAAGGCCTTTGCTGGAGCACTAATGCTGGGGCTTGTTTATTTCGTGGCGTATGTTGACTAAACCCTAACCCTGTGAAGCCTCCGATCTGATAATTGAAAGTAGTTACTCAGCCAATGCTCTTGCTTTCTGGCAGGGCTCTCAGCAGATCGCCGAAGGCTCATTTAAAGAGGATGAAGGAGCAGGAACGGTATATACTGTAGTGTTTCTGATCCTTGATGCATCATTCGTTATTGGCTCCTTCGGCCCTTTCCTGCAGACCTTCGCACTAGCCGCTGCAGCTGGTGAGAAGATCATCTCAATGCTTGACCGACCCGACCCAGCCATCAATGTGTACTCAGCGCAAGGGCTACCTATGCCCGAGCCTATGGAACGAAACGATATTGTTCTCGACAACGTCACCTTCAATTACCCGGCACGAGCTACCGTCAAGGTTGTCGAGGATATCAATCTCACTTTCGAAGCTGGCAAGGTCACAGCAATTGTGGGGCCTTCGGGGAGTGGGAAAAGCACTATTGCAGCGATGCTGATGCGTTTCTATGATCCCGCTTCCGGGCGAGTTAAAATTGGTAATCGTGATTTGCGAGAGCTCAACCTCCGAGACTATCGGAGGCACGTCTCCTTAGTGGACCAGGAACCTGTGCTATTTTCGGGAACTATAATGGAAAACATCCGCCACGGTTTATTGCACAAGGAGGGATTAAGCGAGAGCGAAGCAATCGAGTTATGCTATCAAGCTACCAGAGATGCCAACGCCTACGATTTTATCACGAGTCTTCCGGATGGTTTCAACACCAAGCTCGGTGGAGCTGGTGCTACACAGTTATCCGGCGGCCAAAGACAACGGGTATCAATAGCGAGAGCGCTCGTTAGCGATCCAAGTATCTTATTGCTAGACGAACCCACGAGCGCACTAGATTCCCAAAGCGAAGCAGTAGTTCTCGACGCCCTTGATAATGCTAAGAGCAAGAAGGGTAGAACGACGATAATGATTGCCCACCGGTTAGCTACCGTGCGTGGCGCAGACAAGATTGTCGTCATACAAAATGGCCATGTGGTCGAAGAAGGCACTCACGAAAGTTTGCTCGAGGCTCGCGGAGCCTATCATGCACTGGTCAGGTCACAGAGGCTCTTGGGTGCAAATTCTCGCGCAAGCAGTCTTTCTTCTACCAAAACGAAGGTGGATGACGATGCCAGACTCATCGAGAGAGTGGACGAAAAGAATGAGGAGCAGGGACAAAACCCCGAGGCCCTATCAACCGAAGAGTTCCAGACGCTAACTTCCAGTGCCCTTATTCGGCGATGCTTATCTCTCAGCAAACCAGATACGCCGATCATTGTCATCGGACTCATAGCTTCCATCATCACCGGAGGCATTATTTTGGGTGAAGCAGTCATCTTTGGGAATCTGATTTCAACACTTAACAACCAGAGAAGCTCCGCTGAGCTCCAAAATCGCGCCAATTCATTCTCCTTGATCTTTTTTGTCCTCTCGTTAATTGCATTGGCTGCTTACACCACAAGTGGATCAGCTTTTGGTATCGTCTCTGAGAGGCTTATCAGACGTATTCGGGATATTTCCTTGAGAAATATTTTGCGCCAAGATGCCGCGTGGTTCCAGGCACCCTCTCACTCACCAGCAGCATTAGTCTCTATGCTTAATATGGATACTGGCCACCTCAGCGGCCTGTCCGGTGTTATTCTAGGCACAATATTTTCAGTCACGACATCGATGGTTGGGGGAGTTATCCTAGCCCACGTCGTTGCCTGGAAGATAGCAATCGTCCTCCTTGCAGCTGTCCCGATAATGCTGGTGTCCGGCTTTCTTAGATTGCGTGTTCTATCAAAGTTCCAACAAAGACATGAAACAGCATACGTAGAAGCCGCAGCTCTGGCAACCGAGGCGTGCACGGCCATAAAAACAGTCGCAGCCCTCGGAAGAGAGAACGATGTCACCCGGCTTTACAGCGAAGCTGTAGATAAGCCATACCGGGAAAGCCTACGGTTTATTGTGGCAGGGAATTTCTGGTTGGCTTTCGCATTGGCAATCACATACTTTGTTTATGCTCTCGCATACTACTGGGGCTCCAGACAGGTCAGAGACGGTAACTACACACAATTAGACTTCTTCATCGTTTTGCCAGCTCTTCTGTTCTCTGCACAGGCCTCGGGGCAGATGTTCTCATTAGCACCGGAGGTAACTCGGGCGAAGAGTGCTGCCCTAAGCGTTTTCAGGATTCACGATCAGAAACCTACCATTGACACTGACTCACAACCACCCCCCCGCGAGAAGTCAGCCGCGGCTAGGTTGAGAGTAAAAAATGGTAGCAAGGTTGAGTTCCGAGGTGTCCAATTCAGATACGCCGCTCGCCCAGATGTGCCAGTACTGGATGGCATGTCCTGCACCATAGGACCAGGCCAGTTTGTTGCTTTCGTGGGGTATTCTGGTGCTGGAAAGTCGAGCGCAGTCGCCCTACTAGAACGCTTCTACGACGTTAGTTCTGGAAGTATTCTCGTCGATGATGTGGATATTAGGGCTATCCCGGTGCGTGACCATAGGAGTCGGATATCTCTTGTCTCCCAAGAACCTTGCTTGTTTCCTGGTAGCATCCACTTCAACGTTAGTCTTGGAGCAGGCCCAGGGAAAGACGTCTCTAGAAAAGACATTGAGAGGGTTTGTAAGATGTGTGGGCTACACGATTTTATTATGGGTCTCCCTGAAGGCTACGAAACGTGAATCTACTCTACAATGTTTATTCTCAATTTGCTTTTCACTAACAGCTTCCTAGCGATTGTGGTGCCAACGGTTCCCAACTTTCTGGTGGGCAGAAGCAACGCGTTTCGCTCGCCAGGGCGCTCATGCGCGATCCGGCAATCCTCCTTCTTGATGAGGCCACTTCAGCCCTCGACTCGCACTCCGAGAAGCTCATCCAGGAAGCCGTAGCATCAGCGAGCCGGAATAGAACCTGTATCGCAGTTGCGCACCGTCTAGCTAGCATCCAGATGGCAGACTGCATCTACGTTTTCGAGAAAGGAAAGATCATTGAGCAAGGCAGGCACAACGAACTGATCGCCAAAGATGGGATCTACGCTGCCATGTCCAGGCAGCAGAGCCTGGAGTAGAATGAATCCGCTCTGTCTACAGTTGACGCTTGTTGAGTCCACTTTGGAAGAAAGAGCTAAGCAACAGTCTAGAATTTGTGACATAAATCGTTTATAATAATATTATTTAATAGTTCCAACTCCCGAATTCAAACGGGAGAGAGGGAGAGGGAGAGAAACTCAACACCCTAGTTAGTAGGAAAGCAGAGGGAGAAAGACTAGCTCGCAGATGTGGCAAGGATTAAGCATGCCCCAGAAAACAAAACATAAAGCAAGGGAATTATTCCCTTGACATGATCCCAGACAGTAAATCCCCTCCCAAGTTCAAAACTAGAAATTGGAAACCCCAATTGCTACAAACCCCGAGAACTCCGCGGAGGCAAGGGTGATGATTCGTTTAATCCTTCTCCAGACGGATATCCCGGTGAGCATGCCAAGTATCATAGTCCCCTCCCCCCGCGCCCGTCCGTCAATCTGTGTCGCCGAAAAAATCATCGGCTGGCATGCACCACTTCACGAACGATCACTCGTCTAGTAGTTTCGCACACGTGTGAACGCAACAAGCCGTCTGGGCGCGCGTAAGAGTGGCAAACAAGGGTCAGGCAGGGGGGTGGAAAGGATCCAGGTGATCGGTGAAGGTAGCAAGAAAATATTTTCATACCACCACGGTGCTGCCAAGTGCACGCGCTACTGTATCATACCAATGTTATCTTCCTGGTTGTGTTTTTTTTTTAACTCACCCGGCACTCCCAATCCGATGAGATAAGAAAAACAGGCTAATTTTTATCAGATCGCCTCCTTCCCTACGAGGAAACTCCACTCTGTCCAACTAACTATCAATCGCACGGTAGCGCTTCCCCCCCGCTCCGCCCACCACACCCTTCTTCCCCTCCAGCCGAGCCGCTCCTCATTGCCGTTGTCCAACCTGCCGCAACCTATGATATGACAACCCACAATCTTATCCGATCCGATCAATTCGCTAACCCACTTCCCCGGTCACAACAGTTGACCTACACTTGACCCCTACATACAAGTACACGCACTAACAACCCCGGCAATCACAGTCATCCATCATGATTATCATCCCACTTTATCTGATCCTTGTCCTACCTCCCTTTCCTTCCCCTCCTCACACCTCGAGTGGGGTGTTTTGTTGGGCGGCACCGCCTCCCTTCCTTCCTTCGGTAACGCCGAGGTGGGGTGTTGGGGCCAGATGCTGACCGCAATCTTGCGATCTGATTACGATAATCTAATTATCATTTTTATTTTTTTCAATTCTTTCAATTCCCCCCTCCTCTCCCTTCCTTCTTTCCTGGGGACGCTATTTCCGGGGGTGAATGACGACGAGTTTAGAATTGGTTTGGACTGGTAAGGGGAAGATGGTATGATTGTTTGAGTAATATCTTTTTTATTTTTATTTTTTATAACTCTTGTGGGGGAAGTAGGAGGAGGTCGGTGCGGTATGATGAGTACTCGAGTATGGGTATGGTACGATGGTAAGTAAGTGCCTTGCAGGAGTTTTTCTTCTTCTTTCTTTCCCCGCCCCCCTTTGTTTAATGGGGGAGTGTGTCGAGTGGTTCGTAGTGTGATAAATGTATGTTCCCGGATTGGTGGTTAGATGGTAGGGAATTGGGCATGTTTGTAAGTACCGTACTATACTGCCCTAGGTCTTCTATAGCTTTTAAATTTCTTCTCTGGCCTCGAATGGGGGTGATGTGGGAACTATAGCGAGTAGTGAGTGTTCCGCACTGGTTTGTGGATGAGGTTACCTTTTTTTTGGCATTTGGGATAAATGGTACTTAAGTATCTTTGGGCCTCCATCCATGCCTGGCGGTTTGCTATTACGGGTTTCTACACTACAGTACTGGTATTGCTCTCGCATCATACCTAGGTTTTCTCTCTTCCTTGCTTGCTTCCTTGTCTGCTTGCTTTGCCTGCCTGCCTTATCAGATAGGTCTCTTTTTTATTATCAGATTCTTACCTCGTGTTCGTCACTGCTGCAGCATTCTGCGTCATTGAAGGCAAAAACTCGACACTTTTTTCTCCCTTCCCTCCCTCATTCCTTCCAAGGTTATTGACGCTGCAGTACTGCAGTAAACAGTACTCGAGACACAAAATCACCATTCGAGCGGTAATAGATATTCCCAAACCGCCACTACTTCGAAAAAGCAAGAACAAAAAAGCGATGGGATGCTAAGATGTGTTTATAATTGTGCAGTGTAGGAAGCAGGGCCCTATCGTACCGAGTAGCTCTACTTCCCCTCCACTTCGTGCGTCTCCGATAATATAACAAACTGGTGCAGTACTGCAAACCGTCACTCAGGAGGAACATTTCGCTATTCCATTCGCTGCGCCGGTAGCATCAATATCAACATAATAGTCACCGCATAGAAAACAAACCGTTACATCACATTCGAAATCACAGCCAACTAACAACAGAGACTGTCAGTAAACACCACTTTCTTTTTTTACCAAATTGCATTTATCACTTCTCCCCGAGACTTCACAAAAGCCAGAAGGTCCGAAAAGGTAAATAATAGCAGAAAATATGATCCCGCACTTCCGAAGCCCCATTTTTTTTTCTTTTTTTCTTTTTCCTAGCAAACACGAGGCCAAGAAAAATAAAATGAAAGTTGGTTTGATAGTGATGATGGGTCATTGGAAACGCCTTCACTCTGATTGGTTAGATGTGTTTGCAACGAGGAACGTTAAGCTAACTGAAGTATTAAACCGACAGTAGGTTCCTTCTCTCGTCAACCGGATCCACACTGAATTCATTATTCCCCTCATTTCTTTTGCGTTCCGACAGACGCAGTACTATCATGGCGGATATCACGAACGGGCACGGAAGCGATCATATGAACGGGACCCATGGTAATGGTACTGGATGCCACAGTAATGGGATCACTACTTTCACCGATAGTATTTCCAACAGCCATTCCACCTCGAATAGCGTCGACGGCACCCACGGGAACGGCGATCTGACATACCGCAACGGAAACCATACACCTTCCCCAGACATGGGCGGCCGCGACCAAGAGCCCTACGACTTGGTATGCGTTGGCTTTGGTCCAGCCTCCCTGGCCATAGCAATAGCCCTGCATGACCAAAAGGCGCAGGCCAGGGTGCTGTTCCTTGAGCGTCAACCGGAATTCGCATGGCATGCAGGAATGATTCTTCCTGGCTCCCGAATGCAGATTTCCTTCATCAAGGACCTTGCAACCCTAAGGAACCCTCGATCGGAATTCACTTTCCTGAATTATCTTCGCGAGAAAAACAGATTAGTAGCCTTCACCAATCTTGGCACCTTCTTGCCGCTGAGAGAGGAGTACAACGATTACATGGCCTGGTGCGCTTCGCATTTCGAGAATTGTGTAAGGTACGGGCAAGATGTCGTTTCAGTTGCTCCTATTGGCGAGAAACCGATCCAAAGTTGGGCGGTAACGTCAAGAGATATCAAAAACGGCCAAGAGAAGAGGTTGACCGCGCGACATGTGATAATTGCAGTGGGAGGGAAACCCAATATTCCCAAAGCATTTCAACAAAATCCCCTTAACTCACGTATCATCCACTCGTCCGGATATTCATCCGCCGTTCCAAAGCTTTTGAATGACAAGAATAAAGCGTATAAGATAGCTATCGTGGGCGGCGGCCAGAGCGCCGCTGAAATCTTTAACGACATGCACTCCAGGTATCCCAACTCCAAGACCAGCCTAATTATCAAGGGATCAGCATTGAGACCAAGCGACGATAGTCCTTTGTAAGGTCCCCCCCACTCCCCCCCTCCTATTTACTAGATATATACTGATTCTTAGGCCTCCAGTGTCAATGAGATTTTTGATCCATCTCGTGTCGATCTGGTGTATTCGATGCCAACAGAAATTCGTAGAGAGTCCATAGTTCAAGATCGTACCACAAACTATGGTGTCGTCCGTCTCGAGCTTATCGAACATCTGTATGAGACGCTCTACCACCAAAGATTGCAGAATCCAAGCGAGGCAGAATGGCAACACCGCATTATACCCCTGCGGGAGGTTGCTGGGGTGGAGGAAAACAAGCTTGGTGAAATCCATCTCCAGTTAAAGAATGCTAGGACGGGTGCGGCGGAGACCACGCCAGGATTTGATGCCATAATTATCGCGACGGGATATGTTAGAAATGTTCACGAGACCTTATTGAAACCTGCGAGAGGATTTCTAGAAGGAAAGAGCTGCCAGGTGAACAGAGACTACCGTGTCCAATTCAAGGAAGGTGTAGTCGCAAACAATTCGGGTGTGTGGTTGCAAGGTTGCTGTGAAAGTACACATGGGGTAAGCTTCAATCCGGTAGTCTTACTTCCAAGTGGGTATGACAAGCTAACCTAGGAGGAACAGTTGAGCGATACGCTTCTATCAGTGCTTGCAGTTAGAGGTGGAGAGATTGTCGAGTCCATTTTCGGCGAAGAATTGCATGCTGCGAGTATTATTGAAAAATCAGTGCGCAAATACACCGATGCCATTGTTAAGGACATCGTTAATGGATTAAGAGCGAAAGATACTAGTAACAGACAAGCTTGATTGCATGCTTTTCCGGGGGCCCGGAGTTGGTCGGAATAAAATGAGAATTATGCTATTCTTTTTGTTTATGTTTGCGGTGTTTTGTGTGTTCCCCTTGTTCTGTTTTTTTCTCATTCTCCTGTATCATATCGTCAGTTTAACGACATTCTTATTTAACCAATGATCAATATGTCGAGAAAGGAATCACTTACGCCGAAATGACCTCAATTACCGAATCCGTCCCATATATCCTCCTCCCTCGCCTTCCCTATCAACCCCATTAAAAATGCAGAATTTCCCAAAGTCTTGAACCCAATGTTTCTCCCCTCGCTTGTACCAACAAATCCACTCACAGCTGCGCCAAACTTGACCATATCAGTGGTCGGAAGTCTCAATACAGCCTCCCTGCCTTCGATATGTAATAAGTCAATGCGAATAGCGGCTCCTACCACGCCCAAGCATTGCATCAAGCTGTTTGTAAGGGTCGTACGCCAGGTGATTGCATCGACCACAGCAGGAGAGTCAAACGGGGGGTCGAAAATCCTAGATTCCCAGTCAATCTAAGGAGTAGGTCGCTGGATGGCGAGGAAAAGGGATATCAAACATTTCGAGATGGGAATAGCTATATTCCGGCCCTTTTATCGTTATCCGCTGCAGTGACTGAGAGGACTTTTGCCGTTTTTTTGATTGAGGGGATATGTCAATTATTTCGGCTTCCATCTCAAAACCTATCTAGCAGCGATAACAGGTCTGGTCTTTAATACTGGTGTTGTGGGATAACAGGGAAGGATAGTGTGCTAGAGAAAAGTAGGGTGTTCTGGTCTCGGAGATGATCTGGAGAATTAGAGCAGGGGAAAAATCGGCCAAAAAAAATTCTGGTTCGTTTTACAACGTCCCGCCAACCCCTCCCCACTGCGAACATCAACCTTCCTCCCTTCTCTCTATCCCTCATTTCCCCCTTCCCTTCTTCATTCTTCCCCCATTTCCTCACTTTCTTCCCTTCCTCACACCCCTCACCTTCATCATCGCTTTCAGATTCTCCTTGCGGCTGAGGTTTCCTCAACTGTCCCCTCTCCTCTTACACAGTGCTTCCTCAACGGCCAAAATGGGGGAAAAGCGTCTTGAACAAGCTGAAGAGCACTACTTCCAGAGGTAAAATAATAATGATTCACCTTTGACAATTCGTATCATATGAAATGAAATATTTTACTAATACCCCACCTTCTGGATAGCTACAATCATCATGGTTAGTTTACAATTATTCACTCGAGGAAGAGGCGGAAATAACACCAATTTTAAACCCGGAAACTGACGCGAATTGTCTTCACAACCAGGCATTCACGAGGAGATGTTGGTTCGTGATATTCCCCTGTTTGTCCCGCCCTTTACCACTGGAAAAATTAGCTCATATCGTATCTTCCGCCAGAAAGACGAGGTGAGAACCAACGCCTACAAGAACGCCATTTATCAGAATGCGCACCTTTTCAAGGACAAGGTTGTTCTGGATGTTGGATGTGGAACATCCATCCTTAGCATGTACGACCCGATATTCTACCCCCTCTCGATTTTAGCATAGGGAAAAACCCCCAACCCCATTCCTTCTCACAAGGATGAGAAACCTTTTTTACAGTTATCCCTGTCATAAATATACTGTTGAGAATTTGCCTCTGAGTCATGCTCGCAAATCGTCCTTCGTCTCCTAGTCCTCCCCCTATTGAGGAAACAGCACTAATATGGGGCTATTTGGATATAGGTTCGCTGTTAAGGCTGGTGCCAAACATGTCATCGGCGTTGATATGTCTACCATCATTGAAAAAGCAAGCGAAATTGTTAAGATCAACGGAATGAGCGACCGGATTACTCTTCTTCAAGGAAAGATGGAGGAAGTTGTGCTTCCTGTTGAAAAGGTCGATATCATCATATCTGAGTGGATGGGTTACTTCCTACTGTATGAAAGCATGTTGGATACAGTTTTGCTTGCCAGAGACAAATATCTTGCCCCCGGAGGATTGATATTTCCAGACAAGGCTCATATCTACATGGCTGCTATTGAAGACGGAGACTATAAAGAGGAGAAGATTGGCTGTGAGCTTTACCCAATCATTTCATTACTATATGACTAATTGCCTGTATTAGATTGGAACAACGTCTACGGATTCGACTTCACACCCCTTCAGAGAACCGCCCTAGCCGAGCCTCTTGTCGACACCGTAGAGATGAAAGCTGTAGTTACAGATCCCGGCCAAGTTTTCTCTATCGATTTGTACACTGTCATGGCACCCGAGCTCGCATTTCACGTGCCCTTTGAACTCCATTTCAACCGGAATGACTTTGCGCACGCATTCATCGCTTGGTTTGATATCGAGTTTTCGGCGTGCCACAAGCCGATCAAATTTTCTACAGGACCTCATGCGAAATACACCCACTGGAAACAGACCGTCTTCTACCTCCATGAAGTTCTGAGAGTTAATAGGGGTGAAGTCATCACCGGCAGCATCAGCTCAAAGCCTACGGAGAAGAACAGGAGGGATCTCGACATCAAAATTGACTATCAGTTACAAACTGCAGATCCTTCTCGCGCAAGTGCTGGCAGTTGCAATTATAAAATGTTTTTGATTCGAAGTCCCCCTCCCAAGAATTCAGACTAACTCGTCACAGGTGTTAACCCACAAATTGTTGCAACTTCTGTTCTGTTGTCATGACTTCTACGGCTCTCGGAATAGGATTGTTACTATTATTATTTCTTGCATGGCAGTAACGGTACAGGGTTGGTTTAATATAAAGTCAGCATTTAGTGGTTGTACGATATACTTGTAGAGGTGTGAACAATGGAAGACTCTAAAAAAGTTCGGAGTTAAATTTAAGGTGGTTGATTCTAAAATCATCACAGAAGATTCTAGATATGATACAACTATCAACGATGTAACCAACTTTCTACTTCTTTTTCTCAAGCTGTACCTTCAACACTTCTAAATCCCACTACACTCGAGTGCCGGTAATATAAACGTAGTCCACTTCGCCATGACTAAGTTAATCACAGGCTGTCGCATCATAACAATCTATATCTAATTGCCCTTCTTCCCAATCACAGCCCTATCCGCAAGAGCAAGTCTGCCCTGTATCCTAATCATATTGTGAATCGCCATAATCGGGACTAGGTCGGGCGGACCATGATTAGCCACCACCGCCTCAACCTCGCAATGAATCCTGAAAGCACTCACAGATAACAGCAAAGGGCACATAGCATAACATCAGCATCCCCCGCTGCAAAGCAGCTATGTCGGGATCCTGTCGTATCTCCGCAATGCAAACAATGGTGCTAAGCGTGCACAGTGTACCGAGCATACACATGTGAACCCAAGAGCTCGAGTCCCCTACAATGCAATACAATTCATTAGTAACACTCCTTCCTTTCCCTCCTGATGCCGTTCCAGAAAAGGGAACATACCACGACGAATCCCGAGAAAAATCCAGATCGCTGCCGGCAAGTTATAGCAAGCCTCGAAGAAGATGAACACGCTGAACCACGTGGGGAACTTGATCACCAGCTGATCGTTGAAGTTATCCAGGTAGAACTCATGAAGAGCCCACAGGGGCGCAGGGACAATCGCGCGAGGCCAAATAGGAATGAGGTCCACGAAAGCCATTGTTGGTATGAACATGGCGAAGAACACCAGATAGAATCTGTCGGCCGTTGAGTAGCCCATTGTTGGTGCTCGGGCACAGTATGATTTGTTTTGATCTTTGTTTGTGAGGGTCAATGGATGAACGAAGCAGTGGTGTTGAAGTCAGTCGTGCTTTCGTCCAAGATATTACTTTGAAGGCCAGGGAGGCGATGTATCTGCCGAATTCTTTGCAGTGTATGGGAATTGGTGAACTTTCTTGCTGAATTAACTCGACCACAGTGTTCGTATTGTGCCAGTAAGTTCCAGTCCCATCTGTTCCCTCTCTCCTGAGCTTCTAACCGTGAGGCTCTGATATTGTCTTGGCAGACGATCCTGGTAGGATCAAAAACGTGAATGGCGCCAGGTCACGTGCTTTTAAGATTGAATGGTTACATGAGTGAGAGACTGTGGTTCTAAAAGCACCAGATAGCATACGAGTGCATACCCGAATACAGAGGAACTATCAACCGCGCACAGGATGAAAGGAGGAGGGCGAAAGGAAAATTAGAAGAGGAATGAGGGGAAGACGTTATGCTAGAGTATGCGTCCATCTCGGGAAAAGCGGTCTATGAGCGTGACAAGTGACGTGGTTTCTTCGCAGTCACTAAAAACCAACCTGGGCAAAAAGCAATCACTTGACATGTCACGCTCGCCTCTTATTGCCCGATCTTGGGTGACGATAACTGGTGGGTACCCTGGTATTTCAGCCCTCAATATACCTCTCAACCCCTCTCGACTCTACTCAAAGCATGATACTTCAAACTCGACCTCCGACAATGCAATTACTTAAACTCCCGAATGAACTTCTGATCCTAATAGCCTCAAACCTAGGTTTAAGTGACCTAAACAGCCTCCTCCGCTGTAACCGCGCCCTCTCAATCCTGCTAACCCCCCTCCTCCACAAGCTAGCATTGCTAGACAAAGACGGCCTAGCACCTCTCTACTGGGCAGCTCACGAGGGCCATGAGCATCTTGCCCGCCTCCTCCTGGATATGGGCGCGGACATCAACGTGCGCAGCGGGCCAAACAAAAAGTCCGAAAACAAGCTAACTCCGCTGCAAGCTGCCATCTGCTCGAAGAAGTCCTCGCCAACAATGATAAAGCTGCTAGTGGAGCGTGGCGCCTGCCTGAAAGCAAAGAACTCCTTCGGAAACACCCCGCTGCACGACCTAGTTAGCAGTGACCCACCGACCCCTTGCGCTTCGCTCCTACCGCTGATCTCTCTCCTCCTCTCTCACGGCGCTTCGCTGTCCGCGCAAAACATATTCGGCGAAACGCCCCTACACCGTGTATATGACGGTCCGCACTGCAGAAAGGTGATCCCGCTGCTACTCGACAAGGCCGACCCTGCCATCCTTGGGGTGCAGAACAAGGACGGTGTGACGATACTGCACAAGGCAGTGCAGTTCAATGATATCGCGAGCTTGCGGCGGGTGCTGAAGATGAAGAGGGATATTATTAACGTCCCCGATTTTAAACGCGAGACACCGCTACAGTTCGCGGCGTACATGGGCTACAGCGGAATCGTGAAGGAACTGTTGAAGGGGGGCGCCGACGTGCATCCTAAAGGGTTTGGAGGGCAGACGGCGTTGTACTGGGCTGAGTATTATGAGCATGTGGTTATTGTCAGGATGTTGAAGGGGAAGGGAGCAAAGGTTGATTGGAAGGTTGTGGAGCGGTAGGATGCTCCCATCCTCTTTGTATATGATTGATTGGGGGGGGGGGTTGCTTATGCATTCTATTTGGATCAATTTGCTTGTGGGCGTTTGGATGGCCGGGGTGGGAGTTAGAAATTCGTTATGATATGATAATGACTCTGTTCTTTCCTTGCTACTTTAAAGTTTTTCCTGTATCACATCAGCTAGTGTTATTTTCCTCGCTATTTACCCGTAACATGCCAC